ATGAATAAAAAATGATGATAAATGCCCTTAACAATTTTAAACACTTCAATCAGATCCACTCTACCTTTTTTTAAGAGAAAACAATTTCATAGATCTTAACCTATCTTTGTATGATAATTTTTCCATCCTATGTACATCCTTGTAGCCTTCCTCTGAACCATTTCCAGTAATTCAATGTCCTCTCTGAGTGAAAACAGTACTTCAAATGTGACCTAACCAATAACATATACAATGATATTACAACCTCTTTAGATTTGTGTTCAGTGTTTCTGCAAATACAGGATAAAATCCTATTTTCTCTGCAATTTGCAACAACACATTGCTTGGTAGGTTTAAGAGACTGATCAACCAGAACACCAAAGTCTTTTTCTTTCATATCGTTAAGGTTATTCCTATCAAAATTATACTCATAATTCGATTTGTGATAGATATCCCACATGCATTTGTTATGAAATTAGATGTAAGTAGCATCAGTTGGGGTTGAGAGAGGTGAGAAAGCGGCCTGATCTCAGTCAGTACCTAAGGCATTAAGGGACTACATCTCTCTAAGTCGTTAGAAAATTATTAATGGGGCGGCCGTCTTTCTTCTTCAGAATTATGGAGACAACAGGATCCCCTATGACTATGAAACGTTATAATCAAAACAGAGTACAATGTCAGAAATGAAGAGACTTGTTCGGCGTGGAGTTGGAGAAAGGGATATTAAAGACAGGGTTTAACAGAATGAAAAGGAAAAAGGACCAGGAGATGTAAGGGAAAAAGATTAAACCGAAAAAGAGAGGCGAGGGAAGAAAGATTTCTGCCAATAAGAAGCCAAACATAGACCATTCCAAGCTTTTACTTGCTGTTAAACAAATGTTCAAACAACTCTATTCAATTGTGTACTACAGCTGCCCAGTGTCGGCTAATAATACGAAGAATTAACTAGTGGCGTAATGCTACAAGTTTTTCAAATACCTGTAGAATGATAGGTTTCTTTTTTGTGAGTGTAAAACACTTAATACACCATTTCAAAAACCTAGTTTTAAATCTATTTGTTCTTGATTAAACAATAAACAGCAGTTTGTTATGTATGTTAGTATGAGCCAATTCCTGTTAGTTTAAAGAAAGCGAAAAACATGATTGTAACAAAACGGTACCAGAAGGAAACGATCTACAATAAAGTGGTGTCAGAAGCAGTCTACAACAGTATTACCTTGCATTTATTATAATTAAAAGCCATCTGCCACTTATTCACCTAGTTAATCAAATAATACTAATCATTTTGTGGAGCAGCAGCAACATCATCAAAGCCAGCAACACCCATAATTTTAATATCGTCAGAAAATTTAAATAGTTTATTGGCAATTTCTTCATTTGTGTCAAAAAAAGCAACTGCCCTGACACTAGTCTTGAGATACCCATTTGTGACATGAATCCGACTTGACTGAACTCCATTTATAACAGCCCTCTCCTTTCTTCTATCCAGTCACTTTTCTATCGAATAAGCTAACCTATCTCACACATCTATAAAGATAACGTTTTTAACAAGTCTTTCATGTGGCACCTTGTCAAATGCTTTCTAAACTTCCAAATATACCAAATCTTCACCCATATCCTCGTCTTCGTCAGTAGCAACCTCTTCAATAAATGTCAAAATATTAGTAAGGCAAGATTTTCCCTATAGGTAAATCATGTTGACTATCCAACAAAATTTTAAACTTTATTAAATGACTTTGCAAAATATATTTTATTAAACTTTCAAAAACTTTTCCCACCACTGATGCAAGACTAATAGTCATATAATTACTCTAATAATTTTTATCACCTCCCTTTAAAAGAGGAGTAACATTAGCCAACTTACAATCTTTTGGCATCTGCCCACTATTCCGTGACTTAGATAAAATAGTAGCAAGTTGCTCACATATCCAATTCTTAACCTGTTTCAAAACCCTTGAATTTCTTAAGGAAGACAAAATAAGCACATAACAAACCCAGGCTTCTGACAAGTTCTTAAAATAAAGTTTCATATATATATATATGTATAGATAGAAATGCCTGAAAGACATAATTCAGGCCTATCCTGAAGTTTTCTTCTTCTTGCTGGAATATCTGGTTATTATATTCAAAAGGGATTTAATATGCTTACACATGAATAGAGATAACATCAAAAAACGTTTCGAAAAAGAGAAAAATTTTAATTTTATTGCAAACTTTCACGAGTAAAACTTACTTTTGCTAAGCTTGTGTATTGACTGCTTTTATGAAGCCTTAACCTTCTCAGTGCCTAAGGCATGTTTTGTTTTTATAACGACTGTATATATATATATATTTATATAAGTATTGAACTGAAAGAAAAGAAATAAGATTAGTTCGCGCAACATACCCTGAGAGTTTAAAGGCTATCCACACAGAAAAACTATGGTTCATGGCGCCAGAGTACTTAATTAATTCCCATTGAAATAATGAAAAAGAAGCTAATAACATCAATACTCAGAAATATCGGATTAGTAATATTAGTTGAAAATTATGAGTTGATCTATCTTGTCAATAGACGCAATGACATTGTAATTTTTCGTTTGAAGTTTTCCTAATAACTCTTTTATTGAATGGTAAATTATAGCACATCCACTAGAGGACTTTCAAAACCAAATGTAATTCCACGTAACATTCTTTCGTAGTTGCATATTAATCCTCACACAGATTAATTTCTTCGAGATTGATACCAGCCATTAATTAATGAATTTTATTCCATTGTCAGCACACTAGCCTCTGGCTAGAAAAGGATTAAAGGAACATATTTATAAGGTAGTATTTGTCAGCGATAACTAGTTTTTAAGTTAACTGAGATAAGTTTAGTTGCCACTGATAGAGAATACGAACTTAGTACAAGTCCTTTATTCAACTAGATGTAGTATTTATGTTTACGTTTGATCCAGGTAGAGTGTATTTGAAATATTCCATTACTCCTTAGAGAATCTTGACAAAACAATGACAGTCACATTACACTCGTACTACCTAATGAAGTACATTACTGTTTGATTTTTAAAAACAAGTATAATAAAGTGCCATAGATATTCAAAACTTACTGTTGGAGTAATTGCTAGGTAAAATATCACTGTAATTTTTGTTTATTTATTTTTGTTTTTGATTATATATCTGATGTTGATGTAATTCTATACTAATTCAAGGTGAGGGTTCATTCCTATAAAGTTTTACCTCTAACCAATTTCATTCGGTAGTAATAAATGAAGCTATTTTGAAGAAAACTGAAACAGAAACCAAGCTAACATAATGTATGATAGTTAAGAAATTCGAATTATACTACGGAAGCAGAATATAAAACTTTAATCTGTACAGTGAGTGATATTATAAGTAATTCGTGAAGGCTTTAAAAACAGAAAATATTTGTTATTTATGATGAATTTAAATCTCTTGAAGAAAACGGTAAGCTATTTATTAGTCATTGACTAATTAATATCTGTCACTGCACCACAGTTATACTTCATCAAAACGGGGGGACTAATGTAGCGCTTGGCAACATATGTTTTCTTGTTTTCCTATTATGGTAAGGAGATGTGTCAGTTTTAGTTTCCGATTAAAAGGTTAAAAGTCAAGATAATCATTAATAACTAGCACTTTCTACTTTTTATATTAAGGTTGTAAGGTTATATTAAGCTTTGATTAAAGGAATTAGAAGTAAAAAAATATGTTGATCCTTATTCCAGTAAAATTAATTGAAAAGTGTTTAAGAAAAATGTTTTATAATCAGAGCCATACTAGGAACACGTTATCTCGAATAACATGTCATGGCTGTTATTAATCATTCAAAAGTATTTACTTTTGTCTTTCCTTTTGGAGAAAAAATACACGCCATTATTCAAAGCTTATTTTCTGAGCAATAACAATTGAAACGTTATCTTTTAAAATTAAGTAGTAAAATTAAGGTGTTTTTTTTTAATGTATAACTGTGAGCTATGTAAATATATATATATATATTTGAAATCCCTGTATCAGAAAGATACTGTTTCTAAAAAAAAAACACAAATTAAGATAATAAGCTTTAGTAACAATTCACATCACTATCTTATTATACACATAAATATTTTCCAATTACAAACAATGATTTTCACTAAACAACATTATATTTAGAATAAAGAAAAGCATTATTCAAGTTATGTATAACTTGGCCTGACCGTAACACTAAATCAATCGTGTTGTGTTTCACAACTTTATTCTTTTAACTAGATAGAAGTATAAATATCATTAAACCTTTAAAAACACGGAAATTATTTTGGAAAAAAAACAACGAAAAATAGATACGGATTGGTTAATATCTGTAAACTAAGCAAGTGTAGTTTGATTTCTTTTTTTTTCGCTTTAATATCGATATGGATGTATAAAATATAGAAATGTGTTTCTTGTTATTAAGCGCAAAACTGCAAAATGGATTATCTCTGTTGTGCCCATTACGGGTATCGAAACCTGGATTTTAACGTTATAAGCCTTTAGACTTATCGCTGAGCCAATCAGGAACATGTAAGCTTAATCTGTATAGTCAGTAACTTTAAAAATAATCGCGAAGGAGGGAAGGCTACCAGCCGGCATCACCCACCGCTAACTCTTTCGCTACTCTTTATACCAACGAATAGTGGGATTGACCGTCGTTTGATAACGCCCCCCACGGCTGACAGGGCGAGCATGTTTGACGCCAGATTTCATCCTGTGGCCTGCAGATTGTGAGTCGAACACTCTAAACACCAGCCATACCAGACACATACAAAAGATACGGATTCATTTTCATTTCCTCTTTATGGATACTTTTACAGCGTGACCACAGATTTCTCAACTTTATTTGTACTCGTTCGCAAAACAAATATTATATTTTTATGTAATGTAAAACAAACCCATCCAGTCATTTAAAAAAATCTTTGTAGTATCGTAAAATTCCATTTATTTATAAATTTGTTATGCTATTATTTGCTAATTGGATTAGAATAAACTTTTCAACTCGAAAGATCAACAATGTTTCACTCAACCATTTATTCCACAAGTATGTATAACAAAATACATGTTATCTTAAAGGGAATGCTATCTCAACAAAACGTTAACTCATGAGCTCATTGTTGTCATTTTAAGTACAAATCCACTTTTACAAACACTTTTATGACTGACAAATCGTATTCAAATCGAATTGTAAAACAAATTCACACGATTGTTGGAAATTAACCATATTTTATAACTCAAAATCTTCACAGCTATATGTAACGTAAAGTTCGTCTCTGCCTGTCCCTTTTTAATGCTATTATAATTTATATTATTGAAAGTAAAATACAAAATCAATTATCATGGTGGCAATAAGCTTAAAAATAATAATAATATTATTAGATATAAATATTTACAATATAATTAAATTTTAATTATACTTAGTACAATATGACATATGAGAAAGACAACATTAATCAGTTGTTAGTTCTGGATGTGACGTCTGTTCTATCAAAAAGGAGAATAAAATGTTTTATTAATAACAATAGAAATATTTAAAGTTTAAAATGGACTTCTCAAACCAAGATGTTTCGTTTCGTTCAAATCTTATTTTTTTTGTTCCATAAAAACCCTATTGTTTTGCACTTAGTTGAAAATAAATAGGTATATAATAAAAACCAGTTTGGATTTATTATTAGCATTTTTAATATCCGAAAATATGAAAAAAAAAGGAGTAATTTAAAAAGCCACATAATACTAAAACAATCAAATTATTGAAGATAATAAAAGCCGTCTTTTTGTACTAATAAAGTTAATTAGTATTATTATAATAAACACACATTTGAGGAGCGACTTCATACCACATACTGTGTTTTAGATTTTTTCTTTCTTGCCATTTCAAATCCCACATTTAATTAGATAAAACACTTTTACAAACACCTTTATGACTGACAAACTGTTTTCAAATCGACTTGTAAGCCACAGATTAGGAAAACAAAAATACTTACGTATTGTTTTACAAATTAAAATCTAGTAAAATGATGCAAATAAATTCCATTTTTATTTCTATCTTTTAACTGCAGTAGTTCAATTATCTGTCAAACGTAACTGTTATACAGTTTCAAATGATTTGACTTTCTTGAAAATAATTAATCAATCATTGTTTATTAGAATAAACAGAGAGAGATGTCATGTGGTTGAATACTATATGAATCTTTAAGAGGACAATTTTTAAACATTTGATGTGTTTCATATGTAGAGTTATTCGTTTGAGCCAATTTTTTACAATTTCAATGACTTTAACATTATTAAGTTTGAAAGTATATGCAGGATATTATTAAATAATCATATCCTTTATGTTTTGGACCACCATCATACTTAACACTCAAAATGTATCTGTAGAGGTAGAGTTATAACTAAACTTACAATGAATATACTTTTACAAAGATAAACGAAACCTCTTTAAAGGGGTGAAAGCAATAATGAACTACAAAAATAATTTTCTCCGTTAAATGTAAATAGCACTTGTTTTTCAAATTTAATTTCGAAATTGCTTTGATATACAGAAAACTAGTAATGATCTTTTTAACTAACGTCGTCTTGCAAACTAGTTCAAATTTAAAAAAAAAACTGTTCATATCAAAAATTTAGGTCAAGTTTATAATAAGTTTCCTTTAATTTTTCAATCGTAACGAAGAAACTTTTTTTAAGGGGACATTATTTTGGTCGTATTTCCAATAAACTGATCTACATCTTTATGTAAAAATATAAAGTCACAATTTCTGCTCAAATATTAAGATTGAACAATGGTATATATTTCCTTTTCAAATAGATATGAACGTTCCTATAAAAATATGACCAATTACATGAAAATGTCGCAAATTCATAATATTTTTCTGGATTTTTGATCATTTCTTTCACATTTCTAAATATCATTATATGTTTATTTCATTCTTCAATTTGATTGTTTTCCCGCAAAGTACAAACAAAGAAATGTATTTCATTTTTTCAATGCTAAATTTCTGTCAAACAAGTTTACAAAATGGTTCTCTTAATATTTAATTTCTCTGTTTCGTTTATAACGTTATTCTAAATGTTAGTAGGATATCAAAATCGTTTATAACTTCCATGCAAATAATATATTAAAAAACAAGAAAGGAAAGTGCAAAACAAGAAGAAAAAACACATGTGTCGTATATGGAAATGATTTTTAACTTATAAATATTTGGCATCAGAATAAGCATACTTGCTGGTGTCTATGAAGAAAAACCCGTTAAAGCATAACGTAACCTGCAGCTAACAATAATACATTCAAACAAATAGGCTGAATTTTAAAGAAAAACAAACCGTAATAATTCGCTTTGTTTTATCTTGAAATTTATTGTTGTGAACGTGAGAATTTATTTCATCCCAAATCAAGCTAAATATCTTAATTTTACAATAAATCATATTCTACAATGAAATCATTCCTACCAGATTAATTAATGACAACTATAAGAAGTTGGATTTGCGCAGCTAATAAGCAATAGATATATGTACAAGTTTTTACAACAAAAATGATACTGCATCTACTGAAAGAAAAAAAAAACATAACCTGCATAAAAAGTGCAAAGTAAAATTATTCGAATACACAGAACCAGAGATCAACAAAGGTCTTCTTGCATCTGACGACGATGTCCCCCCGGTGGGACAGCTGTAAGTCTGCGGACTTACAACGCTTAAATCCGGGGTTCGATTCCCCCGCAGTGGAAACAACAGGTAGCCCATTGTGGCTTTGCTCGAAAAACACACACACATACACATCTGTAATTCAGTTCTTCTTTTACAAACACGGAAGTGTATTTTCTCAGAACAACGTGAAATCACGGACTTAAGTGGTCTGGAAGCTCATTCTTTGTTATTATTTTATTTATTTGTTATAGACATCGCTTCAACCGGTGCTCATAAGAAGCTGGTTCGAAAGACTAATTTAAATGGCACCAAACAATATCGCAATACAATATGTTAAGATGGCACTTTTTTCACAACTCCTTCAATACAAAATTAGAAATTCATAACCATTCATAAAACAAGGACGCACGAATACTGACAAAATATATATGTAATATCACAGCTCTCTTGAGTCACACATAGAACTGTTTTGTTTTTCTTTTTTCACAATTACATGAATTTACAACCTTAGTATACCCATCCATAAATGGCCAATGCATCCCAACTGCCTGAAGAAAAAAAAAGCAAAAACGATCCCAGCAATAGCAGAAAAATAACAGCCGGTAATTCGTTATTTTTTTATTTTTTTTTACTGCTTTGCTTTTACTTCACCTTAGGCATGTGACGCTTCATATGCAGAGCAAGATGATCTGACCGTGCAAAGGATCGCTCACAAACTTTACATTTAAAAGGTTTTGCACCAGTGTGCTTCCGATAATGACGAGTCAGTTCGTCGGAACGTGCGAAACGCCATTGACATTCGGGCCATTGGCACTTGTACGGTTTCTCTCCTGAAAACAATAAAATAGACACAAATGAGATTTTCCTCGTCATAAATTAAAATTATATATATAATAAAATATCGTTCATTAGGTGCTAATTCGTTTATTTGCAGGATGATTGTCTATCACATTTTCATACCCAGTTTAGATTTACTCCAACGAACATGTGAAGTTCATTGAATCGTCATGTAAGTAAATGCACTTTCCAAACAATTAATGTGGGAATATAAAATGTGTTACCACAAGCTAAACATTTTGTAATTTCAGAAGAAACTTTACCCAAAACTATAAATTCATAGAACTTATACAACTCATTTTGGGAAGTTTATAGACTAAAAATGTCTTTAAAATAGGTACGTTATGAATAAAATGAAATACTTTCAAAATTAACAAGGGAACAACAAATTTTTGTATTGTTTTTTGGGGAGCACACTGAAAGAAAACTCGAATGTATGAATCTAAACCACCAATACTGCCAGAGGTAGAGGATGCTATTGTTCGAGAAGTTTGTAAAATTACTTCCGAAATCGGCCTATGTTATAAAATGTGCCAATCGGTCACTAAAATGATTCAGGAGTACCCAAAATTGTGGAGGTAAGCAGTTGGACACGTGCAGTAATGAAAATGTTGGTACTGTTTTTTTAGTCATTCTACTGTATTATGTATGATATGAGTGTTGCTTCTTTAGCATGTTACAAAAAAAGACACACACGAAACAGAAATTCAGCTTTCAACATTAATATTTGTTGGATAAATGTATCAGAAAATCTAAGGTTTTTAAAGCGGTAAACAACCGAAAAACTCATTACCTATAAGTGTCCGGTTTAAGATTAACATAGACAACTAGCTATTAATTTATTTAAATACTTTATTGTTCATCTACTACGCCTATAATGACTAGGCTGCTTAATAAAACATAAGGAAATGCGATTGATTTCTCGACCTTAATACTTTTCTTCTTCTTCACGAACCACAATAAAGCACGGGTCATCTTTATTGAGGCTAACCGGAAACCTAGTTTTCCGCAGGATACAGTATTTATGTTTTATTCATATTTGTATATATTCTTTTGAGTGAGTGTATGAATTTACTATATGTTTTGTAAGATGAAGTTTTCTATCAAAATTTACAGTTTTATTGGAATTCTGAAAATAATATCTTACTTTAAGACCCATATTTAAACGTGTGTAAAATTGTGTTAGTTACCTGTGTTAAACTGGCTTTGCCTAGTCATGCGTAATACAGCTACTTCAGCCAAAGTAACAGTTAAACGACGCAATCACGTCGCTAACGTTGACTAAATACGAGGAACATCGAGTGGTTCAGGGGGGTTATGTACTGCGTAAGTAGAGGTAAAAAATTTAAACAAAAAACATAAAAAACGAGTTCTATTTCATCTGCTGAACAAACTAGGTTGTGAACAGTGTAATTATAAACAAAATAAATAAACTGAACAGAAGTAGGCGTTCAATAGCCATCGGTGTTTCACCATTAGGGAGAAGGTAACAATACAATTGAGTGTATGGTATCACCGGTAAGATCGCTGTTTAATCGCAACACGTATTATTACGTTAACACGTCTTTTATATCATTTTGTTAATAAGTATAAATATAAACATCTCTCATTCATTTTTATACAGGAAGTATTACGTATATCAAGTTATTTTACTTTTCATTTGCTGCAAAGCTTTTCTGGATTTTGCAAGTTTTCTTTCTTTCTTTCTTTTCATATGTGGAGAAAAGAAGTAAGAAGCAAATCCAATGACAAAAATATCATTATTGGTCAAAACTGTTATATTTATTGAAGATTGCCTATTCGGTCAGTCTAAAGAAACGAATCCCACATATATGTGATATATCTTGCAAGATAAGTTGGTATTTTCTATTACTGGTAACTTATTTTTTAAAGAGACCGATTCATCAATTTCGATAATGAAAGGTGAATACGGCAATTTTCCATTGGTAATATAAACGCTTTCTCCTCTATATTGGTTAGTCAGCCCCCTATTGGGAGAGGAATTAATTTTTTACTCCCCGTGGGGTTCACGTTTCTTCGAAATTTACTTTGACACGTGTTTTTTTTCCCTCAATAACAATTGCTACACTTCAAGTTCAATGATAAATTACAACAAACCCACTATATATTTTGTATGCGTTGTAAAATGTGACGTGCTTTTAATTTTAACGGTTGGATAAGAGCGTTTAATGAAGTCATTAAAGTGTAAAAAACAAAAACTAATCTGACATCTTAAATTAATTTCGATCAAAGTGCAAACTTATACGTATAAGTAGGTATGCCAATTAACTTTAGGGGTTAACATATTGCTAAATTTGAAGAAGTATTAAGGAAAAGAGAGTCCCAAGTTTAATTGAATTAAATATCTTGGTTTAAAGCAAAGAGGGTCATAAGTTTAATTAAATTAAATGCTTTGGTTTAAAGCAAAGAGAGTCACAAGTTTAATCTAATTAAATGCTTTGGTTTAAAGCAAAGAGATCCACAAGTCTAATCTAATTAAATGATTTGATATAATGCAAAGAGGATCACAAGTTTGATTTAATTAAATGCGTTGCTTTAAGATAGAATTTCAACTAAGAAACTTTGCTGTTTTCTTTGTGTAAAGCTAAGCAATGGGCTACCTACACTTTGTAGAGCCCCCGGTGGCACAGCGGTATGTCGGCGGACTTACAACGCTAGAAACCGGGTTTCGACACCAGTGGTGGGCAAAGCACAGATAACCCATTGTGCTTAACTCCAAACGAACGAAACACTTTTTTAGAGCAAGGTGAATCGAGCCCCAGATTTTGTGTTGCAAGTCTGTAAACTTGCTGCTGACCCACTGATGGAAATTACTTAGAAAACAAACAAAAATTGCAAATCACACAATTTGTCAATAACATATTTAGGCATTAATTTTTTTTAAAATAGCAAAATTTACAGTGAGGAGGTGGCTCTACTTTTAGTTTACAATAAAGGTAATCAAACAAGTGATTGAAATGGCATACCTGTTCATGTTCTTGTAATCTGTATTACATGCAGGTGATCATTCAAACAGTTCGAAACATACAGATAACTATGCAAACAACAGATTAACAATAAATATAACAACCACTGCCTTACCTGTGTGTATACGTTGATGAGCTTTAAGATGCGAACTTTTGGTATAAACTTTAGTACAACCTACAAAAAAACAAATGGAAGTATATACAACCAACATCAATAACTGAGATGTGTTATTACTAAAATACAGATATACAATTAACGCTTAGTATTGTGCATTATTCCATAACTCATTACTACATTAGTCTCACTCTAGGATCCAACAACGCAAAATAAAATAACTGGAAATTAACAGCAACTCCACACCATTAACAACTGGTTACTCGTGTTCTAGCAGAGGTTAATAAACCTATTAACAACGAACCTTACAAACCCACATAATCATTTGAAAGAAACGGGGAATTAACCATATTTGAATATTTCTGTGTGGAATAAATTCTTTGGGGTATAGTTGTATCAAACTATATTTTTTGTTGTTTATGTTGTTTGCGTTTTTTTCCTTCGGTGGATGGGGGTGCTAAACATATAATTGATTAGTTTCAACTATGCATTTAGCTCTTCTTTTTTTCCTCTAGGAAAAAAAAATAGTGTTGTTACCCCAGAAATCCCCTATTCAATCAAATGTTGTTATCCTAGAAACCCCCTTCTCAATCAAATATTGCTATCCCAGAAACCCCCCTTCTCAATCGAATGTTGCTATCCCAGGAATCTTCTATTCAAACAAGTGTTGTTTGCCTTGAAATTTCATGCTTAATCAGGTGTTGTTATCCCAGGAATCTCCTGCTCGATTAGTTTACATAGGAATTAGATTGATTTCCAAAAATAGCCACTTATTGGATTTTATAAGCTAAATATTGTACAAATAAATTAATATTACTGTTTACTACTTTCTATTATTATTCCCAATGTCCAATCATTTATTCATTATTTTGTGTACTGCGAACAAACAAAAAAATAATTGATGTGCTGTGCAAGAAATGAATCTATTCTAAGAACTTCTGAGCGAAAGAAAAGAAGAATATGCCAACAAAACTACATAAGTTGTTTGTTTGTTTGTTTTTTGAAGTTAAGCACAAAGCTACACAATGGGCTATCTGTGCTCTGCCCACCACGGGTATCGAAACCCGGATTCTAGCGTTGTAAGTCCGCAGACATACCGCTGTGCTACTGGGGGGCACATAAGTTGTCTCATGAATTGTAATTTTTGGGTGATTTTTAGAAATGTAAAATTGACAACTTCAACGTGTACTATACGATTTTATGTGTATGATCAATGTTCTATGTTTGTTCTTAGTCAGTATATTCTACTTATTGAAGACTTATACAAGCATATAATTTATTATCATTATTAGTATATAAAGACTGTAAAACCCCTTCCATATTTTTGATTTACTAAAACAATAATGCAGATTTGCACAATATTATAAAGAAGCTTGTAATACATTGTATTGTTTTTATAAGACATGCAAGCTTGATTCTAGTTGTTATTGCATTTTTTTCTTTATTAGATTGCACTATTTCTGATGCACAGTTTACTAGCTCAAAGTATGCTCAATGTAGTAGATTTCTGTAAGGCGTTATTTCAGTACTTAAGGAGCGGTGCGTGGACTAGTGATTAGCGTGAACGGACTGTGAATCCGAGGGCTCGTGATTCCTGTTCGTTTGCCGTAAACAAAAATGCGCTCCACACTTTGGAACCATTGTGCTCTATGAGAGTGAAGGTCAAATCCCACCATTCAATCAGAAATATTGTTGCAAGATATGGCGGTGAGTGCTGTTGACTAACTGCCTTTCGTCTAGTCTATCAGTTCAAAATTGGGGACGGCTATACACAGATTATGCTTTGTGTAATTTTGCACGTAAATTCTAAACCAAATAAAACCTTTAGTGTTAGCGTTCGTTTAATACATCCCACACACTTTAAACATAAACAATAAACAATTTAGTTTTAAATTTAGATGGTGTGTTCTGCACATTAAAATAATACCCTTGTTTTCTAAAATGCTCGATCTGTTTTATGAAAAACTTCATATGAAAATTCATCACGTTCTATGGGTATATTAATGAAAATAAAATGCATTGTGAACAGACCTGTTTTTGTTTATAATTTTATTATACCATTATATACTACCACGTGTATCCGTGTGTCAAGAAGTAAAAGAAAGGGTTTTCTTCGCTACGTCAAGTCAAGTAACAACATCCCCGATTTTCTAAGAGATTTCTGATGCTTAGTCAAAGCCATCAATATGAACTCTCAAGCATTTTGAAAGCTTTAAAAATCTCATGAAGTTAATAATAAATCTGGATAGTATTAACGGTCATTAACAGTCGTCAGTTGTAAATGGATGAATACAAAACCGTATCATTTTTAAGGATTTTTTTTTATCTGCAAGAGACTTTTATAAATTCCTACAGTATTTTATAATATTCAACCACTGTGCGTAATTGGCTGATAATGAAGTTTAATATTCTAAGTGTTGTAATTCTCAGTTGTTTTATGTATTTAACAAATTAAAATTGTTAAAAAAACATGTATAATATTTTTACATCTAAATGATTAAAAGCATTGATAAAATGAACTATAAATGTATTAAGGAGAGAATTATCACTTGTTCTTATTCAGTTTTATTAAACCAAAATTAAAGAAGACTTCACAAAGAGATCAAATCAACAATATCATAAATGAACGTTTTACTTACCTAATAAGTAGCTTTGACAACTAATTTGAACCACGTTAGTTGTCTGTAAGCAATACTTAGATATATTTTTAGTCTAAACTGAGTAAGAAGTTTCCCTTTCTAACCTTTAAATTAGTGTTGTCGGTTACTACTGATAGACATGTTAATAAGACCACAATACTGGGCATATTAACACATAGATAGGTAGTGTTTGATTTAGAATACAAATTACTGATATGAATACACAAACTTCGAACTTACCAAAGCCCAAATTATCATTTTTTAATACACATACCCCAACAATTTATCAGTTCTGACCAGTTATTTTATGTACCAATGTTAAGATTATCCTAAAAACGAAATCGTATCAACTGCTATAAATCTCTACCTACCTGGGTAGTTACAGTGGTGAATTCTTCTTTTCTCTAGTTCTGGGTTGTTTCTTCTGTTGTATCTCATTTGTTGGCCATCATGAATCAAAGAACCAGGCAGAGCAGCTTGTAGCTTGCCGGTGTCCGGATATGGCGGTGGCGGTGTCCGACGGCTTTGCAGAGACAGGGTTTCCATTGAAGGACTACCTGGCTCAGAACCTGGTGGTGTGGGTGGCATGTATACATGAGACATGGTGAAATGAAGACCCATAGAGGTAAACTTGTAAGACTGCATGCCACCACAAGACGTCTGTGGCAACCTTTGGGCCATGCTCGTGTTTTGAAGCGGAACAGCCGTTACTGGTGTGGTCGAATATTGTCCATTTAAAGACACCTGTGGTATAAGCTCAGGTAAAGAAGATGGTCTCTCTTGCTTGATATTGGTTAGTAATGGGTCGTGGCAATTATTGTCTAATAGGAGATTGTTGGAATAAGGGCATGAAGGCAAAGCTTCTGCTTCTGTCTTAACCTGCGGAAAGTCTAGGTTTTCAGCGTCGAACTTATAGAAGCGAGCTATCTCCTCCCATAATGACGAAGGAACAGATTTTATATCAGGGCTGGACACTGGTGCAGGTTTCACAAAGACATCATCGTTATGTCTGCCATACATAAAACTGTTGGAGTTAAGTATGCCATTTTCTTGTGGTGCAACATCCTGTCCTTGTTGATGGTGGTGGTGGGGCTGGTTAAAGATTACAGGAGACACGTGGACATCATTCATGTTGAAAGCCTTTTCGTCTGAGAAACTGAGAGCACCAAAAGAAGTACAACCAATGACGTTTTTCAGGGTGGCTGTCAACTGATCGCTGTGTTCTTCGAAGAACTCGTCCACTTGTGAGGCACTCACCCTACGGGGCTTTTGCGCGGTTAATTCCTCCACGTGCTGTTTACCAAGATAAGCGTCAAGTTCAGCGCCAACCTGACCCACAGAGAGAAAAATACATGACTTTCAAAAACGAATCCATGGGGTAGTGAAAATGTGTGTATAAATCGATATTATTTAAACGGTATTATATAAGCATTATGAACTAAAGCGATAACAAAACTCCACGGCTTAAATGTTTACTTAATACGAATACACATATTTGTTTTTTCCCATACTATGTTTTACGCAATGTTTATGTAAAAGTGTGTGTAACAACATTTCTCAATATCCTCTGATAATGTGTGATTGTTTGTTTGTAATTAAGCACAAAGCTACCCAATGGGCTATCTGTGCTCTGTCCATCACGGGTATTTAAACCCGGATTCTAGCATTGTAAGTCCGCAGACATACCGCTGTGCCGGTTGGGGGGGGGGGGGGCTTTGATAATGCAAAACAAAATTATCAAAAATGGGGATTTTCACACAGACCAGTCGATTACATTTCGTAAAAGCCGACATGATATCCTCAATAATGAAAATTGAGTTTTGTGTAATCTGCTCATTACATGATGGCAAACTACTTCTATTTCTACTCGATACTCTTTCTTTGTTCCAACTTTTCTCTGAACGGAGCTGTGTTAATTCATGTATATATATGATGATAGAAGAATATATATGTAAAGTTGTTAGCTCGAGTTTTATCTTCATAACCAATGTTTCCAGTTAAGATGACGTACCTCTAGTTCGTACCAATAGATTAAAAAATCTGCTTACTCTACAAGCTAAGTACAACATGACTCGGCTATTAGTTAACTAACTATTTCAGTGATTTCTTCGAAATACCTGGCAATATGACACTGCTCAGACTTTCGTCATAACTTCTTACACTTATCGTTATTATTTACGTGGATTTTACACGAGAAGTCACTTGCTACCAACGCTGAAATGATAAGTTTCATCAATATCTTTTATCTCAAAAAATATGTGAGCAAGTTTACTAACTTTCCTCTTTATTCTAGTAGAGTTAGATGTTAGCCGGTGAAAATGTTGACGGGCGCTAATGGTCGTTTTGTGTGTGTACGTGAAGAACAAAGAAAGATTATTTGTTATTTCGTTTTGGAAGTTCGTGCAAAGCTATAGAAGGGATATCTTTTATGCTGATATTCTAAAAGAAAGGAAGCCAGTCAACAGCACTCACTGTACTCTAATCGAATAGTAAGTCATGACCGTCACTCTTTTAACGCACTCCCAGGCCTAAAGTGCAAAGTGTATTTTTGCGGCAACAACGGAACGAGAACCACGGACCATCAGATTCACAGTCCGGCATGCTAATCACTTAGTCATACCAGGCCCAATACGAAAATAATAAAAGTAGAGGCAACAAATACGCATCTTTCTTTGAGTTTTTATGCCATTAATAGCTTCGAAAATGAACGCCACTTGATGGCTGAATGGTAAGTTTAAGGGCTTCTTACGATAAAATTGTGTAGCTTTGTGCTTAACAACAAACAAGCACATACATTTAAGATCAGAAGGTTATTTTTTTAAGGCAAAGCTGCATAATGGGCTATCTGCACTGTACTCATTATAGGTATCGAACGCCCATTATTAGCGTCATAAGCCCTCAATCTTAACAATAGGGGGGGGGGCTCAAAAGATTAAAAATTCGTAATCAATACTTAATAAAAGGCGATATTGTTCACGTAAATCAAGCTTTTAAATTACTTCCCTCAACAATGTTTGATATACATTGTTAACTGATATAGATAAGAAAGTAATTATTTTAAACTAGTCAGCTATAAAACCGTTCTTTTATATTTCGGCGTTTCTATTTCTTGTTTGGCTATCTGTCTGACTTACTAACTGTTGATGTTTTATTTCTCGGCATACTTGTCTCTGTCTGTTTCCTTTCCCGTTTTCTTTCTTTTTTTTTCGGTTTACACGTCACGGGTCCTATTCGCTAAGTTAAGCTTGTCCAAAAACAATATCACTAATAATAATCATTTTGGTTTCTCCTTATCTCAAAGCTAGGAAAAAAATACTTACTCCATTTCCTCAGTTATATAACTTATCGCAACTTATCACTCAAAGGAAACAGTATGATGATGCCTCTGAGTCCAGACCTCTACTAGTCAATGTGTTCGACAAGGTGTTAGGTTTCAATACTTGGACACTTCCAGCTTTGAACAGTTTTCAACATTTATATCATACACGCTGATTGGATATTTCTTCACCACGTACATTCAAGTCTGTATGTCGTTTACAGTCTGCACTGTATATCACAGTTACTCAGACAATGTCTTATTATATTACTGACTGTATGTTCTTTCATCAAGAGGAAGGAAGATGGCACAGGAAGTTCCGGTATGGAAATGTAACCCCCCTCTTTCTCTCTCTTTAAGCAGAGCAATATTCAGTAATAGCCTAATGCTGGAAAGTATAATTGAATCCACTGATATAATAACTTTGTTATACAAATTAATACTCATAGGTGACAATGTCCATTGAAACCGCATTGGGTAACACTATGCACTTATTATCCGTAAATTATTAGCTTCTGATAAAAAGTAATTAAAATAACCTAAAAGTGAAAGCAAAGAAGAATGTAATGACATGTCAACTACACAATATCTGATATATCAAGGTATACAAAAGTAAGTATACAGAACACAACTGAACAATAACTCAGTAAAGCGAATTCTGTATAAGAAACCGACAAGAAGTACACAATATTATAAACTAGGTATAGCTTAAGCACTCAAATAAGCTTCTTCTTAAGCTTAGGCAAGCGTTCAGCAAATTCTTGTACTATACATCCGGAAGGATGAGATGAAAGATATCGACAACATCCGTCACAGTGAGGAGTTATCTGCGGTCCCAGCCGTTCAACTTAGGCAGAAAATGATAACTACTTGCTAGAAGACTTCAGAGTTAGGGGAAATTAAACTAAAATTCTTGGTAGATGGGAAATGGAGAAATTTATCTTAATGTATTTATTATCAAAACCTCATATTAGGATTGCCCACAGTATATGTGTCTTACGCTCTAACTGGAAAACTGAAGAAATATACATGTTTGATGTTCTAGCTTCTGTAAGGTTTCTGATTTGATTTTTCTATTCTAATTATTACCATAATACCTTCAAAACCTTTTGAATTATAAATATGCTTAAGTTTAGTTCACTTTTCTCATAGTTATATCTAACGTGTTTAACTTTTTTTTTGTTTTTTGGTTAAGATTCACAAGACTAGAGATATCAAATGTATTACAAAACCAGGAAACTAAGAGAAATCAAAATTTTACACAAAACCGAAACGCAGGAAATACTTTCTAAATATACATGTATATATAAACACATAAAGCATGATAAACCAACTGTAGACCAATAAAACAGGAGCTACTAAATGTACAACAAGACGAAAGACAGAGAAAATCAAATGTAGCTAAAACAAGAACAAACAGGATATACCGAATGTAATACTGTATGTGCGAATTTCTGTGTTGTTTCGTATTTGGTAAGCTATTGTTTTTTGTTTTTGCCTTCATTAAATTGTATGCTAATCGAAGCAAGTATTTTCATAAATGAATTGAAACGCCTAAGAATATATATATCGAGTAGTGTTTAAACATAGTGCTTTTAGCTAAGCCTGGTCTCTAGAAAATTCTGAATGATGATAGTGTCACAACCAAAAACACCATGTTATGTATTTATTGCTGTGTTAGAGAAAACAGTTTCCCGAATTATCGCGTTTGAACAGGATACGTGTCATGTGATTTCTTTCTTTCTATGTTTCACTGCACACAGATTTCTTTTTATAGAATTTTAAATCATTTCAAGAGAACGGACTATTTTTTTTCATAAATACTTCAAGACAACAGACCTATGCAAATTATTCCATAAACAGTTACATTACCAAAGATAAGTTCGTTAACTTCTACAAAGGGGGGGAAAAAACACGCGAGAGAAACATCAGTTACGAATGAAATAAAAATTGGTAAACCTTAGACGGTTTCTAATTAAGATTGTTTGTTTATTTGTTGTT